TTATGCTTCAGAAGATTGGAGACTGACGAGAGTTAGGCTTCAGATGGATTAATGATTGTACATTGAGCATTGACCCCTGTATACTGAACTTTATTGTTGTTAACAACCATTTGATCAATAAATATGAGAGATGCCCTCTCAAAAAATAAAAAATAAAAAATAAAAAAATAAATCTCTTTAAATGCTTTTACCTGATGTCACAGCACAGACTTTTTTCATTGTTTTATAACTCAAATATTTTACATTAAAATATTGGACATCAATTATATAAATAAAATACTATGAAGAACTATCAAAAAAACATCAAGAAAGTAAAATGAGTAGATGGATATATGGCAAATGAAGTTATATGTCAGAAGTCATTGATTTTTCTCAGCTGCCACATTCATAAAATGATCTAGAACATGAAATCTGTTAGATCCCTTCCAGATAGATTTAAGAATGTTAAATATACAAATGTCGGTATTTTTTTTTAATGGGCTATAAAGCAATTTCTAACTTTCTCTAAGATAAGTTTCTGGGACATTCTATTAAAACTAATACCCCACTTTGCCAAAGGCACCATTTTTTGAGGCAAGTCTTTAAAGCTTATTGACTTCACAATTCAATATTCATAAAATGATAGATTTTATTGCATTATCCCTTGAGGCTGTTTAGTAAAGGAAAATATTTTGCTAATATTCAAATAATTTTTCCAGCAGAATGCTCTAATTATAAAAAGTACTTATGGTTTGCTGATGGTGATAATGACCATTTTAATCTCATATTGAAGTGCACACAAAAGAGCATTTCTTCTGTACTTACACCTTTCTTCTATAGTAACTTTTCTTTTGTGTAAATAAGTAATGTGTAGTTTTTGAAATTTAAGTATATATATCCAGAAAACAAATTTAATTTGAACTACAATAAGAAAAAAAATCCATATAATTTGTTTTTTCTCCTTTTAGCTGGAAGAACAAGCCTCCTCAGCTCATAGGAATGTTCTAAAAAGCATCTGCATCCAGGAAACTGACCAAATGCTCTACAAGGTGGTGGTCACAGAATCAATGATAAAAAACTACCTGAATCAGATGTCTTGCCATCTTCCAGCTAAGAAATTCAAGTGCCGAAAACTAAAGAAGAGGGGTAAAAGGTAACAAGCCAGAGGACACCAGACATACCCGTATAGAAGCACAACATCGTCCAGTATGGAGACTACGCAAGAAATATATTGAGAGAACTTGTGCACAGATTTAAATGGCTCTTTGAGGGCTTTTGCAATTTTCTGCTACATTCTTTACTTAAATGTTTCAAAGAAGTCTGGGTTGATGCTATTTCTATTCATATGAAAAGTTATCCATGCTCAAGAACTAGGAAAAAGACTGCCTACTATCACAACTGCATATTTAAGTATTTGTTCTTTCTAATGTGTTAGATTACTTACCAGTAACTAAACTATAGCATAGAATTTTGATTTAGCACTTTAATAAATCTCTGATTTAAATAATAGCTGTGATTTTTCTTACTCTCCTGAGCTAATTTTATGGCCACAAGACATTTCAGATTGCTAAAACAGTATGAGATAATTAAGCAACAATTTTTAAAAGTGTAAATTCTTCCATTTTAAGAATGATCAGTGATGAATTAAACATCAACATTTTTTAAATCTCAGATTTTTGTTGATAAGCTACTTAAAATTTTTTAAAGTATTCCAAATTTTTGTTGATCAGCCACCTCAATTTTTAAAGTACGGTAATAGTATTTTCCAAACAAAAACTGGGATACTGGGCTGAAACTAGGACAAAAGATTTGAGTAGGAACATCTGAAAGACCCTAGAAAAATATGCCAGAGCTATAACGTACTTCCCATCAATACAAAGGAAGGGAAAAACTTATAAAAAACAATCTTTGAAACACTAATAGATAACTCTATGGTCTTCACAAGTAATAGAAAAGAATAGTGCCTGCCCTTGGTTATTGTGGATTTTTAAGTTTATTATGATTCCACTTTCCAGACTCTTCTCCTAACTTCCTTTCTTTCTTAGCACAACTCTGCTCCCCCATTTCCATAAGTGTTTGCTCCATCCCTTCAGAGTTCTGAACTGTCAACTAATTCCTAGAACACTCCTACATACTTAAGTGGAGGACTACTGAACATTTAAAAAGTCTCCAAACCTTGAAAACCCAATAGTGGAATTTTCAGCAACATCGAGAAGACTCTTTGGGGTAGAGAGCCCTCAATTCCTTAAACTTCTCCAGTGATTCCTACTCCAATCATTAGAACACGAAATGGAAGTGGTTTATTAAGTCTGAATTAAACAAATGTTAAATTTTATGTTGAGTAGGTTGTGCTCCCAACATTCCACAGCTACATTACCACGGAGCTCCAGTCCTTACAATTCAATTCCATCACTGATCTGGAAACAGAATCCTAGTTGATACATTATAGTCTTATTTTACCTTCATCACTAGTAAATGTCAGGTATAATTCCCCCAAGAAGGTAAGGATCCAGACTAAATAAATGGCTGTTAGGGAGAAAGGAACCATTGCAACTCCATACCTATAAGCCCCAAACTGTTTCTTTTCAGAGAAGTTACAGCAAAATTTGCCCCAGGATTATATTTTTTAAGTGCCATGGGTCATTCTTCAAAACCGTATTTTAAATTATATAATGTGAATTTCACCTACAATAACTGTTCATAGAGGGATCAATTAAATTCTAGGTTATTTGTTTTCTTTTTACTTATAGATCTAATCATGAAGTTGAAGATTATTGACATAAACATTGCCTTAGAAAACATTCAGTACAAGTGGACAATTACCTATAAAATAATCAACAAAGTGTAACTCATATTTTTCTTCCCAATGTGCTACATTTCCTCAATTTCCATGTTTTTATTAATTATCTGAGTTCCCTTCTCATTTTACTGATAAGTGAGTTCCTTATTACTACCTAAATATCACTTTCCTCTTCCTCTTCTACATAAAACCTTTCAGTGGCTCCCAGTGCCTACAGAAATCAAATGAAAGCATCTTAGCCTGGTATTTAAGGGTATGATCTGGCTGTACTAATAGCACCAGCACTTTTCAAGAGCTGATTGAAAAATGACAGGCATTGTGCTAGGGCTTTATATCATCTTACTTAATTTGTAAAACAACCCTCACATAGTAGTAACTATTACTGGCCCCCTTTTCTGGAAAATAAAACTGAGGTATAAAGAATTTCAATACCTTATCCAAGGTCACATAGGTTTCAAGTGGAAACACCAGTATTTAAATTCAAGCACTCTTATTCAGCAGCCCACGTACTTTATTATTATTCCTCCTGCACTGTAGCCTATCTGTGCATATTTTGCTGTTTCAGTAAGGCAATCTCATCTAACCAGAAACCAGTCAAGAAAAAAGACATATGCCTTAAGTCCCCCTCACGCTATAAAGGTAACTGCTATTCTAACTTCTAACACCCCAGATCAAATTTGCCTGGCAAATCATTTTAAATTATTACAATTGTTTCTACATGGAGAATGGAATGTATTACTCAAATATGCCATTTTTTTAAACATTTAAGGTAATGGTTCATTTTGCATAGGTATCTCAGAAAATGGTCTTAAACATATATACACACACTCTTAAGAAAATTAAGAAATTGGTGAAATTGTGAAGTTGGCAAATCAACTAGCTTCCAGTATGTAGTTTTTATTAAACACAGTGTTTTAAGCCATTCACAAAATGGAAAGAAAAATAAGCACATTTCATGTATATCACCAACAGTGACTAACTGTGGTTGTATCTACAAATAAAACATATCGGTAGAAGGTGAAAATGTTAACCATCTCTTTGCTTTGTTGAAGACAGCCTCTAACTTATAGAAGGAAAATGCATCCATTAGTCGGCTTGCTACTATTCTGTGAGCTTCCTTACCTGCCCAGTCCAGGAATTCAACACACTCACTCTGGAAATACCGAGCAGCAACATCTCGAGCTCTTTCTTCCCGGAAGTTCAGAGCTTCTATATCAACATCTAATTCCACGAGTGTCTTCAGAATTTGCAAGCGACCCCAGGCTGCAGCACAGTGCAAGAGTGTATAACCTAACAAGTAGAAGGAAGATGGCCAGGTCAACTGACTACGTTGTTTCAGGCTATTACAGACCAAGATCATAACAGCAATCAAGTACTGAATGATTACCATGGGTCAGGCACTACTCTAAGTGCTTTACACATAGCAAACTCATTTAGTTCATAAAAACCCCTGAGGCCAGAATTCTTATAATCCCCATTTTACAGACAAGGAAACTGAAGTCCAGAGAAGGTAAGAAACTTGCCCAAAGAGCACAGCCAGTAAATGATGGATCCAAGATACCAACACAGGCAGTCTGAAGCGAGGAAACTATTGCAGTCATGTTACAGTCTCCAAAAATTGGGGTTTTATCCTTATAAGCTACACTGGCCTTGAGTTCTTCACCATCTTCTAAGGAAGATGGCAATCTCCCTAGAAGTCATCTGTTTTGGAATACAATTAGACTCATGACTTTAGTTCAAGTAATCTAATTACTCTAGCATTATTGCTAACACAATCATACAAATTACTACACCTGCATAAGCCTTTGGTTTGGAAACTAATCATTTGAATTAAAACTGAAATTGTAACCTATCAAATCAGAAAGCTATTTTTTAGGCTTACCAAGATGACTATCATGAGATATAATTGTAAAGGTGGAAAACGGGAGTTAGCTTTAAATTTTTTTCAGACTGGTTTAAAAAAATCAAGTCAGAAGTTCACTGTTTCAATTTACCCACACAGATATACTTATGACTCACTTAACAGGCCAAAGAGGCATGCAATGCTGCTACAAAAGATGAGTAAATGAATGAACTAGCATGTACTGAATCTACTGACTACTAGGCACTTAATGCACTACCACTTCATTTAATCCTCCCAATAACCTTATACTGTGGGTATTATTAGCTCCATCAACGGATACAGAGGAAAGTGAAAGTCAGAGAGACTATACCTTGCTCAAGGCCACACTGGGAGTAAGAAGCCAAAGGGAAAGCTGGGTCTGTTGCCAAATAAAGAGTTTATAAGGGGCAGAAAACAGCACCCAAATGGGTGCCACTGGCTACAGCAGGGAAAGAGAGTAACCCACTCCACTTCCTTTCAAAAACCTCTGCCTTGGCTCCCTATTATGCCACTTTCCACAGTCCTGGGTCTGTCTTGGACCAAGTTGTAAACTATCTTTGTCTTGAGGACATCATAACCAGAAGGGATAATACAGGGTTAGAAGGAATGAAAAGCAGCATGAAGTGAACTACTCCAGGATCAGTCAAAATTCACGTATCTTCCCCTCTAAGGCCCAACTTTTTAATTGTACAACAAGGGAAAATTTTTCAATATGCCAAGAAAAAGAGACTGGCCCAAGAATTTATTATGCCTTTACCCCCTACAAGATGGCATCAAGATATCACTGTTGTTTCTGCCTTCTGCCTGAAGATGGAAGTTGTCAATCAGCTGAATGGTCCAGGGAGGGGGTACCTACAGATGTACTGAGTCTACTGACTACTAGGCACTTAATGCACTACCACTTCATTTAATCCTCCCAATAACCCTATGCTGTGGGTATTATTAGCAGATAATACACTGCTAACAGGAGCAGGTCATTCAGATGAGATGTTGTGGCTCTTGACATTGCCATTGCATTTCTCAGGCTGAAGTTTCAGACCAACAGTGACATATATTTTTTCCCCTATTTTTTAATATATACAATTTAAAAACAAGAAAATGACATTTCTAAGCAGAGAGGTGTTTACCAAGGAATTTATAACCTTACATGCTTTTTCCCTTGTTGTAGATTATCTGTTTCCTAGAAAGAAATACACTTATCCTTTTAGTACATTAACCCCATTGCCTTCCCACGAGAAGAAAAGCATTTAAATAAGACAATTTTAAAAGCATCCAGACAAGAAGAGGACTTTCCTAAAGTTCTCCCATCTTGTTGTCCATGAGTGCTGGATCTCAGGAGCAGGATACAGAAGTCTACACATCAGAAATCCCAGAAGAAAGAAAGGGACGTAAATGGAACTGGGAAGGACTGGGGTTGATTCTAAGAAGAAAATAATCTCTTTCTGGAAGACTACTACTTCTTAAATACAGACAAAGTCAATTGAACAGGTAGTCCAGAGTAAGGCAGAAGACCAGACAGAAGAAATGAAATATTTTCCTCTACACAGGCACTCTTCCATGCACTTCACAAGTATCAACTCATTTGATCCTCACTATAATCCTATGGATTGGGCACTAGTATTTTTCTCATTTATAGATAAGGAAACAAAAACACAGAGAAGATAAGTACTTTCCTCAACTTTACTATAAATTAATGAAGGTCAATGAGGAGCTCAAGATCTAAGAACTGATAGTCAAGAACAAAAGGCTATATGGAGCAAAATACTCACCTATCTAGAACATTTCCTACAATCTGTCTACCACCAGTTGTACAAGACTCTGATTTCTCCAAATCATGTTGTTTCGTGCCTCTAATACACTGGGTTTTTTTTCTGCTGACACAGTAATTACAGTAGTGGAATAAAATCATAGCAATGTCAGGGGCAGAGCCTAGATGGCAGTGTGAGTAGAGCAGCGGAAATCTCCTCCCAAAACTACATATATTTTTGAAAATACAACAAATACAACTATTCCTAAAAGAGAGACCAGAAGACACAGGACAACAGCCAAACTACATCTACACCTGCGAGAAACTACATCTTACACTTGTGAAGGGGGTAAGATACAAGCTGCAACCGGCGGGACACAAGTACCCCTCACCCCAGCTCCCAGCGGGAGCAGAGGAGTTGGGGCAGTGAGGGAGAGGGAGCCTAGGACTGCTAATCACCCAGCCCTAGCCATCCGCACCGAGAGCGCAGACACACAGTGCATGGTGTGCTGGATACTAGGGAAAGAGGACGGTTGAGGGGGTCGCCACAGCCAGTGCCCCTGGGACAAAAGAAAAGCGAGTGCCCTTTGAAAATCTTAAAGGGACAGGGGCCTCACAGCTGGACGGAAGCGCCCCGGTGCAATCAGCCCAGTAACTGGGAATCCTGGGGAACTCCGGGTGCCCCAAACCCCTGAGTGGCAGTCCAGCTCAGATGTCCCTCCCGCCCATTCCCCCTCCGGCGCCACTCTGCCATAGCAGAACCGACCATGCCCACAGCAACTGGGCAGAGCTTCTTTCACAGCTGCCAGGCAAGAATCAGACACCCCGTCTGCGCACAGCTGCCCAGCACAAGCCGCTAGGGGTCACTGTTCTCCCAGAAGAGGAAGGTCACAAACCAGCAAGGAAGGACATTCTCCCAGCCTACACACAAGCCAGCTCCCCACAACTACCTCTATCACCACGAAAAGGCAGAAGAATTTGATCCAGACCAAAATCACAGAGTCAACCTCAGAGAAGGAGATAGACCTAACCAATCTTCCTGAAAAAGAATTCAAAATAAAGGTCATAACCATGCTGATAGATCTTCAGAGAAATACGCAAAAGCTAAGGGATGAAGTCCAGAAGGAGATTATAGAAATGAAACAAACTCTGGAAGGACTTAAGAGCAGACAGGATGAGGTGCAAAGGGCCATTAATGGAATAGAAATCAGAGAACAGGAACATAGAGAAGCTGATGCACAGAGAGATAAAAGGATCTCCAGGAATGAAACAATATTAAGAGAACTGTGTGATCAATCCAAAAAGAACAATATCCATATTATAAGGGTACCAGAAGAACAAGAGAGAGAAAAAGGGATAGAAAGTGTATGCAAAGAAATAATTGCTGAAAACTTCCCCAAATGGGGGAGGAAATAATCGAACAGACCATGGAAGTACACAGAACTCCCAACAGAAGGGACCCAAGGAGGACAACACCAAGACACATAATAATTAAAATGGCAAAGATCAAGGACAAGGACAGAGTATTAAAGGCAGCCAGAGAGAGAAAAAAGGTCACCTACAAAGGAAAACCCATCAGGCTATCATCAGACTTATCAACAGAAACCTTACAGGCCAGAAGAGAATGGCATGATATACTGAATGCAGTGAAACAGAAGGGCCTTGAACCAAGAATACTGTATCCAGCACGATTATCATTTAAATGTGAAGGAGGGATTAAACAATTGCCAGACAAGCAAAAGTTGAGGGAATTTGCCTCCCACAAACCACCTCTACAGGGTATTTTAGAGGGACTGCTCTAGATGGGAGCACTCCTAAGACTAAATAGATGTTACCAGAGAAAATAAAACCACAGCAAAGAAAGCAGACCAACCAAATACTAACTAAAGGCAAAAAATAAAATCAACTACTCACAAAGGAAACACAAAAGAGAACAGACTAAAACAACCAACGTATCAAGAATGGAGGAGGAGGAATAAGAAGGGAGAGAAATAAAGAATCACTGGACAGTGTTAAAATAGCTCAATAAGCGAGTTAAGTTAGAAAGTAAGAT